GCTACATGTAATCTTATGAAAGGTTATCTTAATCATGTTATTTTAAAATAATCTTTTGCAAATTTATGAAAAAAAAGCTAATTTTATGCTAGTTTATAAAAGTATACTAGTAATTCACTTTCATTTATACTTTAAATGCAAATATATGATAATTTCATATACTAATTGGTAGTTATTTATTAAATATATTTTTTATTTTTTCAATATATGCAAATTAATTGCACTAGATGTATGTTAATTTTTTAATGTAAATTAGTCGGAAAAATCATGCAGATTGATGTAAATCTATGTGTATATCTAAAGGCATAAAATTTTGCATGAATAAAATGGTTAATTTAGATTTGATTAACATAAATTATCATGATTTTGCAAATACAGTATTAAGGTAGGTCCGTACTTTCAGAATTTTCTGTCGAACTGATAATTTTTCAATTTTAATACCTTGAACAAGTCTTAAACTTACTAAAACACCCATAAAAGACATATCTTTGCAGGTTAATTTTCATATAACATGTCTCAGCGTACATACCTCTAAAACCTCAACAGTCAAAATTGAACATAAAAAAGTGTGATATCATAATTCTTTTAGTTATGCACCAAATCACATTAAATTTATGTTAAAACTTATGAAGATCAAAAATATTCATTTGCCAAGAGAATATTTGAAATCTTTATTGCAAAATATTAACACATTGGTGTTGAATCTGTCCATGTCTTTCAGAAAAAAATCTCAAAATATCTTTATTTTTTATAATTCTCAAAATCCAAAATGTTTAGATGCCATTTTTTCTTTAAAACTGTTAAGAATTATATCTAATGTTAACAAAAACAGCTACTTTATTATGGTTGACCAGAGAATTTTAACAAAACAGTCTTTTGAAGACGAATCTACCCATTTTGGAATATCAATTTTTTCAATTATTCAATGCAAATTTTTTAAAATCTAAAAATTAAATGGATGATATAGGCTCTAAATCAATAAAAATAGATCTCAGGTTAGTTTGCTTAAAAGAAAATCAAAAAAATTTAGGTCCATAAAAGCGATTAAGAATTTTGCGTCTGTGTATGTACTAAATGACATATTGATCTTATGGACAGAGTGCAAAGTGTTAATTTCCATAAATAATGTATATTAAATGCTTCATATGCACAATAATACTAAAATAAACAAATATATTCTTGCTAAATCATTTTCAATCACCCAAAAAGATTTATATCAATAGAAAAGTGAAAATCAGAATTTTATATTGATGTGTAAAATTAGAACCGGATCCGTGAAAGTGTGGGCCTTCCTTAAACTATATTTTTACACGTTAGCATACTCATAAATTATATAAATTTTTGACAATTATGTAAAATTGCTAAATTTTACATGTTAATAATTCCAATCTCATTAGCATATTCGATAATCAAGCCTTCTGATTGGTTTATAAGCCACAGGCACAAATTTTTACACTTCGATAAAAAATCGAAAGCCGGAACTACTTTTTTGACATATATCTAATGTAAACAATATGGCCGACAATATGTTGTCGTAATTTCTTGGTGGAAATGCATTGTTGATAAAAGGATTTTATTTGAAGTATTTTGATTAAAAAAAACTTTAGATACAAAAGTTTTAACTTTTCTGATCATGGTTAAATTAAATATTAAATCTAGTACATGTATATATGTAAATACAACGTCTGCTTGGAATACTCATCAAGGGGGCAAACGGTCGTTAGGCTTTGGCACTGGCAGTATGGAATCTTCAGATAGTGAAGAAACATTTGAAAGGCCTCTTGTAAACTTTCAATTATCTATGCCACCGGAAATAACTGATAACTCGGAGGTTTTAACACTTCTGGAGGTCCTAAAAGAAGATGTAGAAGGTTTTGATGACATGCTCCTGGAGGCATTACAGCAGCAGAACCAGACAGAAGAGCACTGTGAATCAAATGCACATACTTTCACAAAATGAATACCATGTTATTCAGCGATTGGATGTCGGATTTCAATGAAATCAATACGTACTGATTAACGGCAGTGTTAAGTCAAAACTCGCCCCTAGGATTTTTTTATATTTTTTGTCCCCCGCTTTTGCGAAAGCGAGGGGACATTAAATCTCATTCGTCTGTCCGTCAGTCGGTCAGTTTGTCAATCTGTCCGTCTGTCCGTCACAAAAACTTTAACCTTGCCTATAACTTTTGATTTAGTGGAGCTATATGACTTTCATATTTCACATGTGTATTCCTTATGATAAGACCTTTCTTAGGGTACCACCAAATTTGACCTTTTGACCTTGACCTTGGAGTTTGGCCCACTTTTACACAAAAATTCCAAACTTTTACTTTGGTAATAACTTTTGAATGGTAGATATTAGGACTTTCACATTCCACGTATGTATTCTTTGTGACAAGACATTTCATTGAATACCAACAACTTTGACCTTTTGACCTTGACCTTAGAGATTTCCGTACTTATGAAAAAACTTTAACCTTGACCATAACTTTTGAACGGTAAGGGCTAGGGCTTTCATACTTCATATGTGTAATTTTTGTGAGAAGACCTTGAATTGGATACCAAGAACTTTGACCCTTTTACCTTGACCTTGGAGTTTGACCTACTTTTCAAAAACATAACATTTACTATTGAAAATGTTTATTGAAAGGTTGGTTGCCCCCCCCCCCACTTCTTACCACAGTATAGTGATACGAAGGAAAATGTAGTATTGTTTTGACTCAATGATAAATTGCATTTGCTGACAAGGTCATTGTATCGACCACAGAACTTACGAAATGAAAATTTAAACGAAATTGCTGATCTTCTTGTTTCATCAACTTGTTTGTCAATAATTTACCTTGTTTTAAAAATTGTTCATAAGTAGAACATAATCTTGTGTATCACATCAACTGAGATATATAAACTCCGTTTGCAGGTGATGAAGATATATTGCTGCATAAGTAAGGGAAGTTGACGATTGAAAAGTTAAGTCATCACGTTTATCATAGATCTTGGTTGTTAGATTACCATTAATGTCTTTTCAAGTCAAATATCCAAGTATGAAACGGATGTGTCAGACTCTGTGGTATCTTTTATCTCAAGCTCACCAGGATATCGACATAGGAATGTAGGAATGGAAATTACCATTATTATTTGACAATACATTGTCGATATATCTTATCAAAATGTCGAGTTGAAGGCCACAAGTTTTTTTTTATCGTTTATGATTTTGCACAAATTCTGCTTTATATTAATACAAAAATAGGTCTGCTAATAACGGAGCACAATTGGTACCATTGGGAATTCCTACAGATTGTTGGAAGACCTGGTCTCCAAAAACCACTTCGATACTGTCAATCAGAAACTCAAGTATCTTTTTGTGCAATCAGAATGTGTTTTGACTAAAATAATTTTGCAAATGACCAATGACCAATTAAGTAAAGTTACGAGTTCCATTTTTATTGAAAAAAGTTGTTGTCAATGATATCAAAAAGCCTGGACTTTAATTCATCGTGGTGAATGGTTGTGTATACACTTCTTGGATATATTGTTGCACAGTACTCTTGAAGTTTTTCCTTCACTACTGTCAGATAATCTTAGTGAGGAGTAAAGAAAGAGACTTGGTTGAACATTTACTGGAGCCCACAATGTATCTTTGTTTATTAGCAGACACAGTACTAGTTTAAAGTAATTTAATTCAAGAATAAAAACATGGGGATATTTTAAGTTAAAAATCGGTTTAAAAAATGAATGTGAAAATAATAGCACACATCGTTTAAATCTACACCTATGAATCTCATTTTTTAAAGCTCAGATACGCTATATATAGCTTAAAATTTTTCATATATACTAACTCCAATCAGTCAAATCACAACAAATGCTATTTTGAGGACAGAACACAGGCTTTTAACTGAACACCTGTTGCTGCTGACATACATGTATTGGTATGAATTATATATGCTTCACCTTTTGACCTGCTTAAAAAAACTTGTAACCTTGACTATATCCTTTGAACTGTTAGGAAAGCTTTTAATATTTCACAGGTATATTACTTATGACAAAACCTAAAAAAAAAGGTTTCTTTCTTTACCAACACCCTTGACATTTTGACCTTTGAGTTTGACATAAAAACGAACTTTGACCAAAAGATTTGAGCACTTGTTGTCAGTGTTTTTATATTCACATGTGTATTTCTATGACAAGGATCTTCTGGGTACCTTTTAATTTTACCATTTTGCAATGGAATTTCACCCACTTTTAAAATTCTTTCACCATCAATGGTTATAAGTGTTGAATGGTTGGTGTTTGGGTTTCCATTATCCATAGATATTTTTCACTGCATGAAGTGAGCCCTTTCTTTGGGTTATAAGTAACATTTTTTATCTCTTGACCTTGGAGTTTGACTTGCATTTGAATGAAAACTTTAATCTTTGCCAAACGCTGTCATATGAGGGCATTGGTGTTTCACAAACACACATTCAATTTGTTTCTTTTATGTAAAACAGAAGCCAATCTTCCCAATTCAGCCAATGGGCCCAAGTTTGAAATAGTTTGTATTTGCAATACAAAAACAAGAGGCTCGTGGGCCACGTCACTCACCTGAGCACATTAGCTAGAAAAACAACAACAAACAAACGAGTTAAGTATTGAAAAGTACTACCTGAGAATGCCTCCGTATCAATAACAATGGCTCTGCTGTTCTTGAAGATTTTTTCCTATATATTCCATTGTAAAACTTTCATCCCCCTCCCTACCCCCTAAAATCATGATCATCTACACTACCTAAAGATGCTTCCATATCAATATAACTAAACATGGTTTTTCTGTTCTATAGAAGAGGATTTTTCCTTTATATTTCTATAAAAAGCTTTGTTTGTTTATTTTGGCCCCTCCCTGCCCCCCCCCTCCACCTCCAGGGTCATGATTTGAACAAACTTGATTCTAAACTACCCGAGGATGCTTCCACATAAATATTACCAATCATGACTTTGTTGTTCTCCAGAAGAAGACTAATTAACTGTAATTATTCAAGTTTTATTCAATATATCATAATGAGATAACAGTCCCCAGTGGTCACTAGGAAACTTTCCACAAGATTTCACTTTCTCTAAACCAATCAGTTCAAAGTACACAGGTTTGATGGTGGTAGGATTGGAATGTCTGAGATAGAGGCGGTCAAATCGACAGCGAGGCTTGAATTTGTCGAACACCAAGTTTGTATTTCTCATCATGTCCCAGGTGTAGAGGCACTCCTTCCTGGATCCTGTGGCCTCCCAAACATCACAGACTCCTGAAGGAATCCCTCCTACTTCTTTTAGCTGGAATAAATGTAGGAAAACTTATGTCGATAAAATTATTTGCACAACAATGTCACAATACTGATCTTTTGCAAACCTGGACAAACAGATCCAAATGATGCATCATGTTACACGTAACATTTTACTATTAATGAAGTAAAAGTATTTGAGACATGGTTGAATTTAGTTCTATTCCCTTGAACCATTAATTTTTCTTCAATAAGGAATATTTGACCCCATGCATAAATATAGGTAATTTACAGTATCAGGTGGTGACCTGAATAACTGATCACCATCATCCAAATAACAAAATTTAATTTTGACATAGTCTCTAAAACAATGGAATCTTTTGTTTACTTGAACATACAACATTCCCTTGACCAAGAAAACATGAGAATTTTTTGCTTTTAGTACAGGTGAGCTAAAGAGTAGATTTAAAGCATTCATTTATGCATTTTACCTCTTTGTCTCTCATATTAAGGTCTCCTCCAAAGATGACATTCTGAGTGGGTGGAGCCGCCTTAACGGCCTCAAAACACTGCTTCAGTTGCTGCTTCCTCTCCTCTCCGTACTCCTTAGTGCTCTCCAGGTGGGAGGTCATCAAGGTAAACGGTATGCCCTTAATCTGACACTGAAATGTACATGAGGACTTAGTGGTTTATTAAATAAATTTGGTCAATTTGCAATAATCTTTCTATTGGCTGATGAAATAATCAACATTCTGTGAAAATAATGGATGTTCCCCCAACTTCTCGTCTAAACTGGATGCTATTATTTTTTTCTGTCAAAATTAAAATCAGCAATGCAATTGATTGTATAATAATATATTGACTTTTTGCAGCCCTATTTTTCTGTATTCTGTAAGAGAATCGTAAACAACTCTTCTGTTATCCTGCATATGTATTTTGCTATAAAAACATGAGAAATATACACAGCTCTGTTGACCACATGGACAATGACCATTCACTTGATTTCAATATCTACAAGAACAAATCTCCACCTGAACTGCCAGCAGGTTTCTCATCATAACAGTATTCTTGAATGGCTGTATCTCCTTTGCGAAGAACTTGACAAAGTCATTCTTTAACATGATGGCAGTGAAATACTCAATGGATCCTCCTGGAATGATTTTATAGCTAGGACAGTTCTGTTGAAGAATTGGTAAAGTATCGTTTGTCACCTCTTGGAGTAAAATGGCATGGGGATTTTCTCTGGAAATTAAAAAAAATACATACATGTGCTAATCAAAAGCAAATACATGTATGCTGAAACACTATGAAAAAAAAGATATAACAGAGCCTTTGGTTCAATTAGATGAACTAATTAAAATAGTTTTCTTTATATAATAATCAACACAGTAAATTACTTCTTGATTATGTTACAAATTTCTGTAGTTCTTTTTTCTGCACTTGGTTTGTCCAAGCCATCAATGTTCCAACTTAGCAAACGAATTCTTTGAGGTTCTGGATCTTCAATATGTTTCTCACTGAAAGAGACATAAAGAGGATTTTTCTTCAATGAAAATAATGCATCTCATGTACTTTACACTAAAGCTTTCAAGATTCTGATTTATATTATGAACTTGTAAGCTCAAAATATTTGGCAATATTAATGTCTCAGATCCTTTCTTTCTAATAAATAATCCAGGGACTTTTTGGGGTTAACCCAATATAATCAAATTTTATGAATTGATCATAAAATGAGGATATAACACTTGAAATGAACAATCAGGGATATAATCATTATTTTCATACCAGACAATCATAAATATGTTAAAACAGAAATATGTTTCAAGATGATCCATACAACATATTATGAACATTTTTATTTGCAAGTAAAGATTTATTTTAAAAGAGTAAACATGAAGGAATACAAACTTTGTTTTCTATATTGCCAAAAGTCAGTCTGGGTTTTCATAGCCATTTTTAAACAATATAAATGAATTTTTTCATGACAAAAAAATCCAAAGAAATTTCTCGACAAGCAAAAAAAAAAAAAAAACAAAACTAAACTAGTCCAAACATATAAAACCTATTACACTTATATACAGAGATTCTATTGCCTCAAATCTTTCACTTTTCATACCCATTTCACACATATTGGCATTTACCAGGGGGAGTATGTTTCAAGATGGTCCATACAACTTTTTTCTTTTTTAGTATATACATTTTTTAAAAGAGTAAACAGGGCTACAAACTTTATTTTCTGATTACCATTTTTTAAACAATCTAAAAAGAAAATTTATTGTGTAATACACTGTAGATTGTAAGTACATTTTCATTTGCTTGGAGGATCCTCCAGATTCTGTGACATCTGATCCCCCTCTCTTAGTTCCTTTGTCATGGTCTGTCACATCTTGGTCCTCAAAAAATGCATTGACTGAAACCTGCAGATATCAATACAAACAACTGTTTAATGTTTATTCAATGACATCAGATTGATTTGCATCAATACAAACCTCCAACAAACAAATAATTGTGTCCCTGAGTTGAGAAAGTATATAAAATTAAAATACAATCAGTCTACATACAGACTGTATATGTTCTTGTATCTATCAAATACTTTTTTAAAAATCACTATCAAGTTCCATACCAACGGGATAAAACAAAGTGAAAGTACCGATTCTTCTTTTCTAACAAAAGCATTCTCGTCTGAACGCAGGTACTTGGATCTCACTTATAAATATGTATGCTTACTGATCTGTAAAAGTACATACTTCGAAACGCTTCTTTTTAACATTTCTAATATTCAATAGGCATACAGTGTTGTAAACCAAGATGCAAACATTTGAGCTGCAGCCGACAACTCGACAAGTAATTATAATCTACCTCCACATTCCAGTTCCTGTCTTGGAGATAAAACATGGCCAGAGCCGTATCCGTTCCTGTAATGTCTGCAAAGCTCTGACATCGCCTCTCACAGTCAGCAGCACTCGGTATATTTTCATCTTCTGTATCAGACATTTTCCGCCAAATATCAAAACCGACACACCTAAATAGGTTGTACCACAATTGCATATGATAATGCGTACTTGAAATGATTCGCGATGTCATCAAATTGTATCGATGCATTATATATCGTTTTCTCTATTTTAGCATATAAAAGCTTTTATGGTGTTAACTATATACTCAAGCATAAAAACAAATACAAGAAAGATTATCTGCTCAACAGTCATTTACAAATAGTGCACTTGTGTAGACAGTTGTAGTGGACATGTGTGTGTGTGGGTACGGTGTGTGTGTATAAAGAATTAAAATAAAGAATTTAAAAAAGCAGAACAACCGCAAAATAACTAAACAATCATAGCTTAAATAGCCATGAAAAAAATGTACATCCCAGATGTAGTGGCATTTCATTTGAAAATAGGATTGGGAATGTTTTTATAAAGTCCACATTCTGATTAACACTGTTTAACATTTGAAGACCTGTGAACAAGATTTAGGCTTCTTACAAAGAGATAAAACAAAAACAAATTGACTAAATTTCCAATTTCAGGGCATAAAAATAAGTATGAAAGGGCTAACATTCTATATGAAATATTTCTTTCAATACCTATATATTTATTTATTTAATATTTATTTATTTATACATGCCGCCCCATGTTTTACTTGAAAAGTTAAAGCACAATTATCACATATAATTTTAGGACAACACAATTAATTTCTTTTTACTTAATACAGGACAACACCTAATTTCTTCATACAAAATAAAAATTCTTTCAAGGAATTATTTTCTTGGATAATTTTATATGCTTTATAAAATAGCACTGATGTTAGAGGGAGGAAATTAAATATAGATCAACTCATTAGATATTTTGCACACATTTATGTAACTTAATTTTCAGACATATTATGAAATTAGATAACATTGCTCCCAAACCATGTGCAAGTTGTTTCCCTAACAATTTGGCAAGAAAACGAACAATCAACATTGAAGTCTTTTCCTATATAAATGTGTAATCAACCAGTAACTGGATATTGCAAAATTCATATCCCTCTTGTTTCAGTTTTTTTATGTCCTCTTGTTAACTTCCCTTTTGACTGAAGTTTAGTGTTTAAAAGTATAATTTAAAAGTAGCAAAAAAGGCATCCAGAATAGGTAACATGTATACCATGAGAATAATGTCCATTTAGCAAGGGTTGAAATATTTGGAGATAATGCAAGTTAAACTCCAATGTCAATTTAAAAAATTGCTCAAAATTGTTGCTTTATCAACTTGTTTGTCAATAACTTATATTGTTTTAGAAATTGTTCATAATAGAAATTTCAGCCCTAGCCATAAGCTGCCATGCGGGGGCATCATTGTTTCACAAACACATCTTGTCAACTCTGAAATTAAAAGTACCCTTGAAATTTTTTTCCTTGAAAAAAAAAATATATAAGTTACAAAGATCTCAGCAGAGATACATGTACATATATTTATCACATGTTTACTCCTTCAGAAAGTGAATCTACCAAAGAGGATATCATTTTTTATATCTACTGTTGTCATGAAAACATAATTTGCAAATCAAACACTTGTACGCCGAAAAAATCGAAAATTAGTTAGTCAATTACCTGCAGCTTTCTTCTGTCAATTTGACTAAATAATATTTTTAAAGAGAAAAGAGTTAAATCATTATTTGCATTCTCTTGTAATTTATATTAAGGACACAATAAAAGTTGAATATTTAAAGGTGAATTGATTTGTAGCAATTCGAGACACAAGAAAAATAATAAAACACTTTTAAATTTTCCCCGACTTTATTTTTACTTATTGCACATGTCGTCAGGAATCATGGGTCAAATTGTCTAACTGTCAATAAATTAACATCATGAACCGAACAATAGTGCTCATCCACGTTATATAATTGCACTACATTCACAAACACTTTTACCAGCACACATTCACATATAACAAATTACACCCCATTAATAGGAATCAACACAGAGCCTTTAAGAAAACAAAAATTAAGGACACAAACAATTTCAGAAACCTTGCAGGTAAAAATAAAAAAAAAGCATATACATGTAAATGACAATACCCAAAGCATACAATATAAATATGATAAAAAAAAATAATAAAACCATGTGTTTTAACACCAAGGTTTTTTGTCAAGCAAAGAATATACTGTACAGCTTTTTAAAAAAAATTCTGTTAACAAGAGACAATTATGTCTTTCAAGCCTAACAAATCATAATATTTTATAAATTATTAATTAAATTCAAATCTAAACTTGCATTTCTACTTGCATTTATATAATCAGATCCTTGAGATTTGGGGGTGGGTAGGGGATGGACACAGATCAAATTACAGGTACATGCATGTGGTGGAACATTTTCAATTTTACATTTCTAGCCATAAAAGTCTTTTGCAATTTTTTTTTAATTCAAAGGCTTTCTAAGCGTAATTTTTTTGTTTTATAAAAATATACTGATAAACAATTTATGTTCTTTTCATCAAAAGGAAGATGGTATAAAAATACAATATAAGAAACTGAATTTGTGTGTGTGTGTGTGTGTTTTTTTGTGTGTGTGTATGTGATGTAGTCAAAATTAAAAAGTTTTCTTGACAAAGAAATTTTCCTTTTTGCATTTCAAAATAAACTAATGTACAAATATTCATCCAATAAATGAACTATTTTTAATTTTCATAGCAAATTCTATAAGAAAATTAGTTTTTATATTGCAAAAACAAATATGCTTAGAAACAGTACTTTTGGTCAGAGCACTTTAGAACAACTTAGAAAATTTTACCCTTCATTTCTCTCATGTAAGAAATAAACAAAATAATTTTCACATTTTCATATTTCTCTAATTAACCAAAGTAATCTCAATAAAACTATAAAAAAAAAAAATCAACTATTCATTTGATAAACTTCTAATTAACTGGCCAATAAAATGACAACTTATATCTTTAATCACAAAGAGCAAAAGCCACAAATGACCAATCAATTAATGAAGCACTTCTATCACTGGCCAATCAAATCTTTCAACACATCTTTCTTCAGCTCTCTATGAGAGAAGCAAGCATGACATGTTACACACAACAATGATACATGGATAATACTGCAACACTGCATTGCTTCTATGTCATGGCAACTGGTCAATTGTTCCTTTTTATCCAAAAACCTCAATTTGTATACACTCACTTTGAAAAAAAGGTATGACATTTCAAAGCACTTTTATACCATGTTGCACTCTCATTTTGACTAAAAGGTTTTGAAAGACACTCACTAGTCTATGTATATATACACATATGCACTAAGATTATGGCAACAAACACGTACATGGGAGGATTTCAATAATTTGGCATTGGGTTTTCCTCCCGAAAAGTACATGTCAGAAATAAAACATAAAAATGTACCGACACACACATCAGAAAAAAAATCATCTCAAACCTATATCAGATATTTCTATTCATCAGCTGTGCTTAAAAGTATATCACGTCCATAAACATACACAATATTTAAATCACTCGAGCAATTTTTTTTTTCTCTCCCTTTAAAACACCATCACCCTCTGCAATCTTCAGAAACAGTGACAAGGTCACAAGCAGTGGTGCTGTACGAAGTGTGTAGCCATGACAAATTAAGTCCAACCACTATCATCGGAAAGGCCGAGACTCATACACATACTGCCATATACTGTTCAAACAATGCACAAGTCTCTCCCAGTCACGACCCACCAATATAATGGCCATAACTAGGATTGCACTAGACAGGATACGAGCCCTGGAAAATATAAAAAAAATAAAAATCACTTAAAAAAGCAAATTCAAAATTTTTCAGCATACCTTTTTTAAAATTCAAATTTTACATCTAAATGATTGTAACTGAAGAGAAACTTTCACCATCTGGGGAAATCATTTTTTGCACACACTTGATTGAACCAATTTAAAAATTATTTATTCTCTTTTGTCAACTTGAAATAAAATTGTAATATTCTTTTACAGTTTATGATGCAATCAAATTGGCTAATAAATGGGTTGACATTTGACCTTGTGGTAAGAAATGGAGCGATGAGATTGGCGGCTGTAGAGACAATAACTAGGACGACGGCCACGATGGCCAACACGACGTTGATCAGCTTGGTAAGGAGTGTACGAAATGTGACGTTCTCCACCATCTCCATGGAGATTATCTGCTGCTGTTGCTGCTGCAGCTCCATCTTGGAGATCTGAAATCACAAATGTCAAGGTCACTTTTTTTAAAAATTGCAAAATTTAATGTACTTGTGAATTTGCCCTTCGTTAAAAAAATAATCATGATTCATTTGACAATTCTTAGAGAAGATATGACAAGTGGATTTATCTATCCACAACATTTTTTACCCTGAACATATTTTTGACGAAGATGTGCCATCCTCAGTTTTTGTTAGACATCTAGTGTACGTACCCTGGTCTGACAATTTTCCACATTATCCTGTAGATCTGTGGTTCTCTCGTCCAGACGATACTCTATCTTCTCCTCCATACTTGATATGTCCTACAACAATATAAACAGATATTACAGCACAAAGCACATCCACCATCATTTATTCCCAAAACAACATTTTTAGAAATCTCTTCTGTATGTCTGCTACTTAATGGATACAAGCATCAACTTTTGATATTTAGCGCAAATATTTCTTTCCAACATGTCAGAATTTTTCAAGTTTATAAAATGATTCAGAGATATTTCACTGAAACGAACATTACAAGAGAGACACTGGGTATAACTGACCTGTCTGAGGTTGGAGAACTCGTTCTGATTTAGCTCAGTCATGTCATTCATCTGCTCCTCCAGTCGCTCGTACTTAAATCGTTCCTCATCCAGAGTCTGTCTGAGTGCACTCACCTCAGTATTATGCCATCTCTGTAAATTGGACAAAATGTAGCAGGTTTAGATGCCGATTCAACAACCACTGTTCTTAACATAACATGCAAGTTCTTATTACACATCTAAATAGATAATGTAAGATATACCCTGTCTTTAAACCAAACAAAGTGTTTCTATTCCAAATATTCATTACTAAAAACAATTTGTATAAACCTTTATATATATGAAAAAAAATTGTCCATTGAATGAACAAAATGTCTTGAACAACTACATGTATGTTGTTTAGTATCATCTCTACCATCATCGCAAACCACTGCCAAAATGTATATATCTTATATGGCCGTCATTTAATAAAACTATTGCTCATTAAAATATTGTTATACAAATGCAAATAAAGCATAGTTGGATGATGAACTTTTTCTGACCTTTCAATATCCAATCGCAGTATAGGAAATACAATTGTGTATAGACCTTTATCGATTGCGATGGAAAAAAACTTGCCACTGATTGAATGACGTCACAATAGAGAGGCGTAAATATCATATAACACTTTTTGTTTTGAAGCAGCCACGGGTAGGAGAGAGCTTATATATGCGGACTCCAGACCGTGGCTTGAGACGATGCATCTCCACTACACCAACAAAACTTTTTGTCAAAGATATGAACAACATTGGCTTCATTAGCAGTCACTCTGCTTTTCTCTCTTGCCCTTTCAGTACTCTACCTTGCAGTGATCCAGTTCCTCTGTCAATCTGGACACAGTCTCCGCCAGACTTTTGTTCGTTTCTCGGAGGACCTCCACTTCCTGTAAGATGGGTTCCAGTGCAGCCTGGGTAAGCCCCACAAACTGTTGTGAGGTGTTCTGGGAGTTAGACATGGGGCTGCTCTGGTACTCCAGGTTAGAGCCTGACAGGATACTGGAGTTGTCGTCCTCTGACGGATACTTAAAACTGGGGGAAAAAAAATCAATACATAGTAAGAATTAACGAAAGAATTTCCTTCAGGTATGAGTATTTACAACTATATGTGCATCCTTATTTTAGGATTATTATATTTGTAAGTGCATTCCTAATTTGATTATGGATATTTAATAAATTGTACTAAATGTGTACATTGTGATGTTCTAGTGCTTGTTTTAAGTGAGGATATTTTTTAAAAGAATGTATATCTTCGAAAATGTGGATGCATAAATTTGAAAGTACATCCTTAATATTAGTAGCCTTTATAAGCCAGGTACCCAGTATTATGGTATATATTTTCCCACACTTTTTGGAGGGGAAAAAGGAGTGAATCAAAAACCCTTTAGAGCTAAAATTACATCAAGATATTATACCAATAACTGACCACTTCATAATGCATCAGAGATTGATAATCTATTTTGTTGTATAATATTGCCAGATTTTGTGGAGGTGGGTTATTAAAGGTTATCTTTCTATACCTGTTATTAATTGTAAAAGTGGAAAAATTGTAAATACATGTAACACATATCAAGGAATTCTTATGTATTGCCTATCTTTCATAATGCATTGGCCCCACCTGTGATTCTACTAGTGCAATCTAATGTGTTAAGAATCAAGTTACACTTTATGATAAGCCATTCATAGGTGAATATTTGCACCTAACAAGTGCATGTACTTTGCAACTAAAATCAAACTCAGGAGTCAACTAAAATCAGTGCATACTACTGTGTATTTAGACAATGACAACAAAATTTACATAGACTCAACACAAACATATTCCTGCTTCTTTGGACAGAGAAATGTGGGTGATCTGTGATTAGGACATGCAATAACTCTGTTGGCAGATACCATCCCCAATTATTGCAGAAACCTACCCCCAAACACATGCACTTTTATTACCAGTATCCCTTTCACCATAGTAAACATGCAGTTAATACATGCATATTTTCCTAGCTGGATATTTTTTTACAGGCACAAAGGAGAATAATTGTATAAAAACCTATATACATGTATATTGAAGAAGCACATCAAAGAATCAGTCACTATTAGAAAAAAAAGCTTTTTGCATGCAATTCTCAGGCACATCTATGAGATTACAGATGTTATAATTTGTAGAAAGCTTGAAGAAGTCTGCATATTACATACAACTTGCACTACTAGTTGGTCCAAGACCACTCAATCATGCATTAAACAAAATGATTCAAAAATGTCATTATTATAAAATCAAAAAGAAGACAAAATCATAAAAAGAAAATCATACTGCACACATGATTATGTAATGCCACGCAGGGATAAATGCGTATAATTATTTAATTAGGTTAATCACTTTTTGTCATTGATTGTGTCTTCTTTTGTTTGTGAAGAAGCAGGAAGAGACATGTACCCACTAAGATACCTCGCGGGCAGGGTGCCCCCCTGTGGCTTTTCCCCCTCCATTCCCCCAGCATCATCCAGGGATTCTGGAAAAAAAAACATACAAAATATTACTACTCCTGGTAAAATGGTACAGTTTTGAAATCAATTTCAATTCTGAGATTCAAATTTTTTATAAAGACCATAATTTTTTTTCATGTACAATTACACCTACACACATCTAAAAATGCATATATAAATCAAATATGTTATCAAAATTGCACTTCTATAACTCTGTCACAGAAACATGCCAGGTAATGAGATATCTATCTGATTAGCAGAACAGAAGAGAAAAACATAATTTTCATTAGCTCTGATTTCCAGCTGGTGGTTGGAATTCAATTACATTTGCTTCATCAGAATTAATCATTGGTATTTATAGCCAGAAATGTGTATTGATTAAATTAATGGCTTGGATTTCATATCTGCATGTTCCATTAATGAAAACCAATAGCTATGCTTTCTTTTTACATGGGCAGAAAGTACCACATTCTACGAATATTAATGTGCCTTTTCTCTCAGAAATTTTTTTAAAACAATGCTGATAAATGAAAACAGAGAAAAAAATTTCTTATCTTCAAGGACATTAAAAACATGACAGTTTTTACGTGATATCAATTATCTATTTCGTAGCTGATAAAAAAGAGGACTTCAACTTAGCAGAAGCTTCCTGTCTGATAAATCCATCATTTAGGAAAGTTCATAAAGTAACCATAACCATGCAGTGTTAATGAAATATTCTTTATAGTTAACCAAATTACTTACTCATTTGATTTATGTTGTCAGCACTCCCAAACTTATTCTTGATTAAGTGAGCAAATTCTTTAGGCTTTGCCATCACTGTGCTGTAAAAGAAAAGAAAGATTTAACTTTCTCAAAAAGTACCTAGAATAGGGTGTGTAAAATATATTTCTTTTCATACAGATTTAAATTACAATTTGAATAAGGGTTTCCCATGAACAAAAATTAAACATCAAATTAAACATAAAATATAAACATATTTTTCAAATAAATTAGAATCTGAAAAAATATTAAAAACAACTTACTCTTTGGCTCCTTTTATGTTGCCAACAACACCCCTAAAAATAAAAAAGAAAAGATTTTGAGAATAAAAGATAAAAACAAGTAACACTTCTTTATAAACATGTTCATGTGGTATTCCATATTATTTTTTTTTAATGTGTTAAATCAGCTAGTTCTAATTCTAATTAAAACTGGTTAGAGTTAAATTTAAAAGTTATTAATGTTAAAAATAACTAGAACTGTCCAAACGGGACAAAATACCCCCCGCTGGGTTTTTCAGAAGTCAGTTTTTCCATAATAAAGATATGTATCAAAAACAAATTATGAAATTCTTATTCCAGTGACCTTGAACTTCCCCAAAAACCTTGGGTCAAGGTCATGACACACCCTTGGGTCATAATCTTTCAGTGAAAAAATACCAAGTTTATCCAAACAGATATGGACCAGACACGAATTATGAAATTTTTCTACCAGTCACCTTGAACTTCCCCAAATGACCTTGGGTCAAGGTCATGACACACCCTTGGGTCATGGGCAATCTTTGTGTGAAATGAGAACCTACCAAGTTCATGCATAAGAAAGATGTGGACCGGACACGAATTCTGAAATTTTTCTACCAGTGACCTTGAACTTCCCCAAATGACCTTGGGTCAAGGTCATGACATACCCTTGGGTCATGGGCAATCTTTGTGTGAAATGAGAACCTACCAAGTTTATCCATAAGAAAGATATGGACCGGACACGAATTATGAAATTTTTCTTCCAGTGACCTTGAACTTAATGACCTTTGGTCAAGGTCATGACACACCCTTAGGTCATGAGCAATCTTAGTGTGGAGTAGTAAAATGTCCCTCTGTAAGAAAGATATGAACCGGACACGATTGCACAGACAGACGGACAGACGGACGGACGGACAGACGGACAGCTGGACAGACGGACAGACGGACAAGGTGATTCCTATATACCCCCCCCAAACTTCGTTTGCGGGGGGTATAAAAAGTAAAACAGTGGCATAGGCAAACAAAGGCAACGAAAGAAACAGATTTATGCAACACACAAATGTTATTAACTACATGTCATGTTTCTATAAACAGACATTGACTATATCCATATCCATATCTCTTGCTAAAAAAAAGATAGATCTATAATAAGCCAATTTTTCTATAGTTCGGATGAAAAAAAAGGCAAATTGTTCAAGCCAGACTCTTTTTGATGCAGAAGTACAATAATGTGAATATGCTCAGTCTCTGTGTATCTACAAGATAGATGAAGGATGATGCAACCTGCAAATTATGTTCTCTCTCTTTTTTTATCTATGTAACTACTATGTTATCAAATTACCCAATTTCCTAGATCTAATTTCGGAAAGCAAAACACAAGGCAAAAATCTAGGATTAGAAAACAGTCAACTCATCAATATAGCTACAAAATACCCACAACAAAAAAGGGACCCGAAAGGTTTTAAGGTCAAGGCTGAACAATATCATGCTACGGACACTAAGACCTACCCCGAGAATCCTGTGATACCATCCACGATGTTGGCACCAACACCTCTGTAGAAAACAAACGGCTATTCAACGACAGTCACTATCAACAACACAACATCTAACTTATCTTTATCAACAACTAACATCTAATTTATCTCTTTCAACATCCTACGATGTATCAGCTAGTTTTTATCCTTCCTTCTTCTTTTTCCTTTTTTTCAAGCTTATTTGATATCTTATGTATTTCATTTTACATTACATATACTTAAATCTTGTATTAAAAGAGTAACAAAGTAAATTTCTATTTTCCTTTTTCATTGCATCTAATATCATCCTAGCGTATACAACTTTTACTGGCTATAGTAAACAAAGAAGCACAATGCGGCTCAATCTTTTTGTTAATATCACAATTTTTTGATGAGTGTTGGTTAAAATTTCTTTCTTCCAACTTGAGAAATGTTTCAAAAGGAAAGTAGATTCCCATGCTCCCCATCCCCCTTTTTCTGTTCAAAGTATGAGAAGTGTAGACATTTGTTCAAGCAAGATAATCTAAGTAAACACCTGAACTTGAATGAACATTAATAAGAAAACAAAACATTTGTATGACCAAAAATCAAACAAGTATTTAATCTAAGGTTCTCTCACTACCTAATAAATAACATACAATCTGAATAAACAAAACAAAACAAATTCAAATGTAAATTCAAAATCCATGCAGCACAGAAACTTCCATAGATATGTGGTGTCATAAAATACACATACATTTAATTTCTACAGTGTGATTTGTAGAGTTTGTGTGTAAATTTAAAGTTTTTGAGAGAGGTAGAAACTACTGACAAGCTTCTGTGGGGATGCTCGTAAGTTTAATGGTACTTTTTTAAAAATTATTTTAAAAAAATATTATTTTATCTACTTATCTACATATATTATGCAAAGCAGTGACAAACTTCACCAAGTTAAAACATTTAAATTTGATCATCTTTAGAAAATCTCAATCTCAATTGTAATACTAGTATCATTTTGATGGATGGTTAATTAAATGGTTAAAAAAAAGTTGTTTAAGATCTAGTAAATGTTATTGCACAACTTTATACAAATGATTTTGAAGCTATATATTCCCTAACCATTGTGCTGTTACCAGACGTGGATCCAGGATCTTGTCTTAATAGGTCAGGTGCTTTGTTACATGGCAATATATATCCTTGACTTCCATAAGCAGATCAAGGGCAATGTCTTTTGTAGGCCTGGGAACAATTAAAGATCCCATCTGCTTTTAAAAGTAGGAAATCAGTAGCTTTTGACATATAAATTTTGGCACTGTAGTTTACATTTTAATTATTACATTCATGAATGACAGTGAAAACAATCTTTGATACATTATTCTTTTTTTCTGTTTTGGTGTTGGGGGGGGGGGGGGGGGTGCTGAGAGCATCCCACTTGTATCAACCCTGGTAACAGTACATACTTCCCAAATCCTTTTACAATCATTATTCAAGAACAACAACATACATGCAAATAAACATAGCATTTTTCTCCTTGTTAGATATTTATTTCAGCCTATTTGTGTGAGACCACCAGCTTGCAAAAATAACATCATCACACAAAACTCCAATTTTTGCACATTTTTTTTTGCTTATAAATATCTTGCCATTTAAGGAAAATTTGGAAACCTAGTATATTTAAATCAAAAGGACTGATATTTTTTTGCTGTTTCATGAACAAAATTCATTTTCTCAAAGTCCATAAAACAATACAAAATAAGAGCAAAGCAAACATGGACGATTGATTACAAACATCAGAGGTGGGATCAGGTGCCATAAAGGAGTCAAAAAACAAATCTTTAAGCATGACCGGTCAGAACCCTTACAATTTTGTGCTCCTTGTCAGGATCAGGAAAATTTTTTTTTTAAATCTTTAAAAAAAAAAAAAAAAAGACGAAAAATCCAACAGCTGATGCATCCAACCACAGAAGCTAGCATGCATGTTTACCCCTTTGTCTTGCTTTTATCTTTACCAACTGCGAGACGAGATCTGCCATTTTTAGAATCAAAATATTACACTTTTATTAAAATGACTAACATCTGAAAATTTCTTTCACTCATATTAATATCTTGGAAAAAAATCCAGATAAATTTTCAAGTACATGCAATTAATGTTGCAAACTGTATATCTTCAAGTAACAATTAATCTTGAAGATGCTGATCAAAATTAACAAAAAATCTGCAGTTTTCTATTTAAGATCACCTATGGGGTACCACTATAAATGTTAAATATTAAAGCAGATAGGCTGTATATTAAATTCTAAGTTCAATCTTCCCAAAATGTTAAATGTGCTTTCACGATTCAATCACTATATGCACACCAGTCATTCCAGCGTTTTTATTACTTACTTGAGGCCATGACCCATGTCGCTGAGCACTTCCTTGGCCTTTTTGTGACCTGTGACCCCCGAGGTTTGAATGTCCTCGATTCGTTTGGTGTAACCCTCTAGCTTTTTCTGTAAGGTACTGATGCTTTGTGTGGATTTCTGATTTTTCTTCTCAAATACTGCCTTGATTCTGGCTAGCTGTTGCTTGTCTGCACTGGCACTGCTAGCCAACCTCAAGTATTCATTGACATTTTCTACAATACATTAACTTTACTTTGAAAACTTTATTTTATTTATAATACACTATATATGAAATACATTTCTTCATATTCAATATGTCTCATTTTCCAATTCTTCTTCAGATTGAAAAAACATCTTTCCAATATTAAATCTAACAATAAATAATAATGGCAAAAGAAGATACTTTAATCATGTATGTAAGCTCATTGCCTTACAAGAAATTTAATGCTGGTACATTTAACCTCATTCGGTCTAAACATTTTTTGATTAAAATCTCTAGCTTCCTGTAAGAGTTACCTTCCTTGGCTGCCTGTTCGGCCTTGATTTGCTCCATGGTCTTGTTCACCTTGCTCTGATAGTGTTCGATGGCCGCCTTCGTCCTCTGGGGGTCAGAGACGTCTGTCCCCGTGGCGACATCTCCGTCGATGTCATCCAGGGCCCCGTCCCCACTACTGCCATTCTCCCTACTGCTCACCTCAACCTGGGGGTCCACAAATCAAAGAATCATTAATAAATCATGGTAAGGTCACTTATCAGGATTGTCCTTAAGGATGTCCTTAAGAACTGAGTAGCAAAAAGTGGCAAAAATGTCATTCTACTTTTAAGCTATATATTGTATATCTGGTACTGTTCAAGAATTAGTAATGAACTAGTGATTATTATGTAATTGCTTTTCAAATAGATCTCCAACACTTTTATCTTGAATACTTTAGTCAATTTATAATGAGTCAAATAATGATTAATAATCAAGTCAAAAATTTAAAGTCGTAATTGGTACTGTTCATGAATTAGCAATGAATGTAATTGCTTTTCAATATTATTTTATCCTCCATAGCTAGATTAGCCCAATACAGTGTATATTTTTCTTGGTCTCATCAATGTTGAGATAATGAAATCTGACAATATATCATTATTACCTGATAAAAATATAAAACTGTGCAAACAGTACCAAGACTTTACAAACACAAACAAGTATTTCACACTAGTCAGAAGTTTTCCCGTCAAAAAAAAATTTAAATTCTTACAAAAATCCCAGAAAATGTCAGATATTTCGGACTTATTTTACACGTGTACATACACTCTCTAAATCCTCGTTGCTGCGCACCATCTGGTCGTCGGATGCTGGCATCAGATTGTAAGACCCGGACCGAGGCTTGGTTCCCGCATTCTCCGGAGGGGACGCTTCTTTCTTGGGCAGATTGGGGCTCTTTCCAGCAGCGATTTTCTTGATGCTCTTCACTGTTTTACTTGCTTCAGACTTTTTCCTGCAAATAATCCAATTTGACACTGTCATATTAAAGGATCCACTTATTGTTTCTCATGATTCACATGGGCACTTGACAGAAACCTGCCGATACAGTTTTTTTTCCAAGAGTAAATGGCAGCTAAGAAAAAAAACCCCACAATTATGGAAAAAAAGGCTTAAGACATACAATGTAAAAGGAATGTAAGGTAAACATATAGATCATATTAAGCCACACCTTTAAGATACATCCTTCTGAATACATAATAGAAAACAAAGTAAATTTTATGCTAGTAAACTGAAGAATGAAGGCAAATATTTAGGTCAAGTAATGTGATAATTTTATTTTGATGCTACAAAAATTTTTACGCTACATTACAAAACCTTTTTTATTTTCTCATGATACTACTTTTGTTGAATTAATGTGGCCAAGGAATTTTAATTATGCAGAGACACAATCAAATATAGACCAACCTTATGCCATTCAGAAATTAAAAAAAAACAAACAAAAACTTATCTATAATGTATCACTGTGCACTAAATGAGGTCATGGAATAGAAACAAATGTTACAATTTTGTCATTTGCCTAGATCTTAAACAATGCAAGGATATAAATTATTCAGTTAATAAGAGAAAATGTGGCTTTGCCACCAGTAAATTTAATAATTAAGGCAGTTCTTAAAAGTATTAACATTTGAAAATATTGACTAAAAAGGCTGAAAAAAGAAAGTTCTTTTAAAAATGTTAAAAATTTGATGGTCAAGTAATGTGATAATTTTATTTTGATGACTGGTAATTACTTATTAATCATAATAGAAAATAATTATATAAAAACATATGTATATAATATATAATTATCCATCAAATATTACATGACAAACCATGAGGTCATGCACAGAACATTCTGTTTCATATCTAGTACATGTACTATGCCTATATCTATATTAAAGCTTTATATTTTTGTCTACATGTATTCAACATATGAAAATATATATAAACTATAAGTACAAAAGGATGCATGCCTAATCCACATGCATACAGGAACAAATATTGAACATTTCATTCATGCTTAGATACAATTGTATCAATCTGAATATTCTACGTAAACAAGAGGCCCACGGGCCTTATAGGTCACCTGAGTATTGTGTAACAACTTGCAAAAAATTAAATTTGGTTCGTGTTTTAAACCAGAGGCAATAAAATTCACAATTAAGAAAGAGGCACCATTGCTTATCATAATTATTAACTTAGCATGCTTACTCTATTTACTTAATACCAAGAGGTAGATCAGAGTAACAAAGAGAAAATGCACTTCCACTTTATAACCAGTTGTTCACACCAAAGGTACCACTGACCCAGGGGCTATATATTTCAAAATTTTGCAAATTTTATCATAAAATAGTTGATCAATACCAAAGAGCAGATTTCAAAGCATTAATTTATTTTCAGACTATGTAAGATCTTGAAACATAAAAAAAAACCCACTTTGCTAGATACACCTTCCTTCATCATAAATATATATATCTGGATCATTGGCAAAAAACCCAGAAGCAAAGGAAAACACTTTCAAAGAATTAATGCATTTTTACTAAATAACCAACACAGCCCTGCCCTAACACCTGAACCCCTGACCCTGGGGCTATAAAATTAACAATTTTATAGGAGGTACTCTTGCTCATCATAACTAGAACTGTAATGACATGTGGCAGAGAAGGTTTCAAAAATACACTAGACATGTTCACAATTTTTAATACAAAAATTTGCAGTGAAATATAATTGCTCATCATGTTTCTTAATGAATGAAACGGAGGTGCAACCAAATGAAACATCAGTAATTCCATTGTAACATTTTTTTTTAATCTTTTCATTTAATTTTTTTATTACTGCATTAAAAAAAATTATTGCAATTATGTGTTATGTCACTCTGCAAACAGATTGTTGAAAAAAAAAAACCATTATACAAAATCAAATTAATCTTGATATATCAATTTGAAATGCATTTTGGTCATCCAGTAATGAAGTGTTTTGACAGACAATAAATTACAATTTAAAGAAGAGAGATCTTTAATTCTTGTGCCTTATTCCCTGGAGATTTGATAACACACACACGCTTGATAAGAGACTTCAAACTCATTAAAACTGTGTTATCCCAAGAGACAAATGAAATTACATTCTTCTGTGCAATGTAAAAACTGTTTTTAACACTTGATGATGTTTCTTTTTTTAAGTTTTTATGAGTAGTTTTAAGCTGTAGTTCACGTTTTTGTACAGATATTCTAGATTCTATGTCTCAAACCTTCTACATGAGCCCAAAATGAACAAGTCAAATAGAATTTTTTTAAAACCTGTAAAATGCAGAAAAATGAACAAAAAGAGTTGAAAATTCCAGGTGCACAACTTCATATGGTGAATGATAAGTGTACAAATTTTCAGATTAATCCTTGCAATAGTTTTTGAGAAACGGTCCAGACAAAACCACAAAATAAAAATGAAAAAACACCTGTAAAATCAGAATAATAACCCAATCAAAATTAAAAATATCAGGTATCATATGGTGAATATATGTGTACAAATTTTCAGACAAATCAATAGTTTCTGAGTAAACAAAATCTTACAGACAGACGGACAGACGGACATGGTGACAAACCTAAATGCGGGGGGTATCATGTACTTAGTTGGTATATTTAATACCCAGAAGCAGAGAAGAAGATTTTCAAAGAATTAATGCATTTTCACTATATAATCAATAGAGCCCCGCCCTAACACCAGAACCCCTGACCCTAGGGCCATAAAATTAACAATTTTAGAAAAGGCACTCTTGCTCATCATAACAATGTGCTTAGTTAGTTTACTTAATACCCAGAAGCAGAGAAGAAGATTTTAAAAGAAATAATGCATTTTCACTATATAATCAATAAAGCCCCGCCCCAACACCAGAACCCCTGACCCTGGGGCCATAAAATTCACAATTTTAAAAGAGGCCTTCTCTTTCATCATAACAATGTACTTAGTTAGTTTATTTAATACCCAGGAGCAGAGAAGAAGATTTTCAAAGAAATAATGCATTTTCACTATATAATCTATGTAGCCCCGCCCTAGCACTAGAACCCCTGACCCCAGGGCCATGAATTTCACAATTTTGGTAGAGGACTCAATGCTCATTACATTCATGCCAACAGTTTGCTTGCTTGATGTCCAGGAGTAAAGAAGAAGAATTTTAAAGATTGCAATAATTTTAGTGGTTTTGGCCCCACCCCTCAGGCCCCAGGGGGGCAGGGACCATGAAATTCATAATTTTTGTTCCCCTTCACCCATAGATGCTGTATACCAAATTTGGTTGAAATTGGTTCAGTGGTTTCAGAGAAGAAGCTGAAAATGTTCAAATGTTAACACACGACACACGATGGACGACGGACGATGGACGACGGACGAAAACGGATAGCAATAGGTCACCTGAGTTACTCAGGTGACCTAAAGATGATGCATTTTAACAAATACAAAACTATATGTAAGCCAGTTTGTATAAGTCTAGCAAATCTATATGATCTACATGCTAGTACACATGTACATGTATTTTCTATAAAATACCATCAGAAACAGAACATTTGCAACATGTACATTAATATATACAAACCGGATAACCACAACTGCCTACTACTAAATGCTAAATGATCAGTTTAAGCATTTAAATAGAAAGATTAACACTTAAGGTGCAATCCATTCTTAAGGTGCACCTTTCATCTTAAAGCTGCACCTCCGGTATTTAAAGTACAATGGTCTATTATTCACAGTTACTTAAATCTTTAATTTACTGTAACACTCATTAAGCTTGCATGTACATGGGTTCCAAAACTGATAACACAATCATTAATTAATGTCATAAAAATTAATGAAATGTGGATTAATCATAAAATACTATCAAAGTGTTAATTATATTAAAAAAAAAAACTTACTTAAAATGATGCATCATCACAACTTGCTTTAGCTTGTACTAAATTTGATTTGTTTATTGAAATATGTAACGTATACAATATGTCGACAAAAATATATACATGTATATGCTCTTTCTTCATTTGTACTGTGACTTCATTTTAATTAATGTATATTTTTAGTGATTATTAATGTTGATGTAATACATCATCTGTGTGTAATGAAATAAATCTACAAGGTTGACATTAATTTCACTTTTATTTATATCTACACATGGTTTGTAATAATGAACTTTTACTTCATCCAGTTGTATGTACAGTCTTTTTTTTAATCACTTTAAAATTAAGAATACAAACAAGTGTAAAGAGTCAATTATGATTGAAACAATAAATTTTAAGGAATATTAGTTGTAAGGGAGATTAAACAAAATAGTTATTAAAACAAAAAAATGACAACTTGTGGAGATAAAAAGAGGATATATTAAGTTTAATCATATTAGATAATGAAAATAAGAGGCTTTAATCTAATTCATTCCAGACCCAATCACGATTCCATGCAATCATTTAGTCCTATGACTCATTTGAAAGTTATAATTTGCCAAAGAAGTTTCACTCAATTAATTTTTTTAATACATGCATTTATATATGCATCCATTCTTAGTATATATATATATATATATGGCTAAATAATTTTTTCAAAGTACATGTATAGACACACAAAATAGGTTGTATATGAAAATTCTACACACATCAATAGTAAACAAGAAATTTTCAAATGATTAAACTAGAGTCTAAACAATATAGGTAAGTGATTATGAAAGTTTTATAATCACTATTTGAAATTCTACTTAACTGTCAAAAAAAATTACCTGTCTTGAACAGATTAATAAGGAGCTCCTTTCACACAGAGTTCAAATTTAAAATGATCAAGTAGTGGGTATATACTTTAAGGATTCACTATATACAAAGGAAGTATGAACTTTAAATACGGGCGGGCATTAGCAGCATTAGTAAGCAGTTTAAGTTTCAATAGGCCAGCGATTGGCAACGAACACAAACAGTTATTATAACAGTACATAACACGTAACATTAAATGAACAGTGACAGTAAAAGCCCTTGACCTTTGTGTGCTTATAAATAGTAGCAGACATGAAGGATTCCTACAATGCAGCAAGAGAGAGAGAGAGAGGATAGGAGAGAGAGATGGGAGCAGTCAAGGGCAGAGAACTCATACCTCACTGGAAAACTGAAGCGACGGCCAGGCAGGTTTCCAGAATTCATGAAAATTAACCACAACTAAAAATAAACGGTTTAGATATATATACAGCAGTATCCTGGTATCATTCCTTGGAATTCATTGATGCTCTTTGAAGGACAGAGATATAAAAGATCAAATGTTCACATGCTTGGAAGGCACTCGGGGTAATCAATCAGGTTTTATTTTGTAAGGTGTACAAATTCAAAGATTATTCAAAAGCTCTACCCTTTCAATATTGTTTTTCATTGAAGGGGGATTTTTTTTTTTTGCGCAAATTATGCAATGTTTTGCTACTCTGTGGAAGCCAATTTTCATGAAGAAAAGAAGCAGAGTCATATTTAGTGAATTATTAATCCTAGAAGTACAAAAGCCCCCCTGCACTTAACTTCCCGTATGGCTGACATCCAGCTTACACCTAGCTTGGTCTAAACTTTACTGTTCTGAGATGGTTGTTCACCCCTGACTCTAAAATGTTTAGAATTCATTAACCAATACACTATAAAATGTGCACTCTATTGTGTCCTATATATGTCATATTCTTTGTTTTCCCTTATATGCTATGGGAATTCATTTGAAAATGATTTATATTTTCTTTGAATGATTTGATCAAACATCTATACAAGATTATGGACGATCACTTCATAAAGAATGACATCTATACAACCAGCAAGTGGTCCTTCCTCCCCAAAATCATCAGTACGTGGAAAATAGTCCCAAAGTTTAGAAATGTGACACAACATAGGTATAATCGTATCCTATTATCTGCTGACTTCTAAAAATCTAGCTAATCAAAGTGTGGTCAAAATGTCTATTATTTAGCTTGATGTTCATATGGTCAATTTGCGTCATTCAGGTACCTAATTAAAGGTAACATCACGAAGAGTGCGGCCGTACAATTAGTTTTACAAGGTGATCAGCTGATATCGTCCGATTTAAATAACTCTATAATCCCTCTGATCATACCACTAACATTACTTACAGTCATTGAACTTGTGCCGAATTTAAGACTTGTATTGTTAAAATGGCCTGTATTTAATATATATTTTTAATAATCCCATACTGTCCAGGGCAGAGTTTTTTATCTTACGATCAGTGTCAATAGGTAATTAGGTCAGGGCTAATCAACTGTGACCTTACCTGTCATCGGTATATATATCCTTCTTTGGTGAATCAAGCATTATTTTTAGTGCATGTGACTTAAGCGTTATTTATGTTAGTTTACTCATCTTCCCGTTTGATATTAAAGTCGATTGTGCCAGCTGCAAAGTTAATTGTGGGAAAAGCTTTACCCAACCCAACCCCAAGTATGGGTATGTTTTAGACTCTTGAGCTTGCCAAGCTTAAAGCTTAATTATAATCAATGGATTCAGACCCCAATGCCCTTGCATATCAATCCAAGTGACTTAGTTGTTAGTAGCCTTAACCACTGCGACAAAATATTTCATTTTCAGTAACAAAACAAACATTGGTCAAATACTCATAAAATATAGTATTTACTGTATACATACATGTATAAACATATATACATTTTAATCATGTTGATCAATTCGAGTGTTTGTCATTTTTTTGTGTAGAATGAAATAAATCTATGATTTCAAAATTTCTGCTGATGTCTGCAATGTTTTTTGTCTTTTATTGTGGTGAATGAAATAAATCTATGATTTATCATGATTTACCTGAGTACAAGTCTATAAATCCAGACATGGCAATGCAGCCCAATTGAATTCTGTCTAGATTAAAGACTGTGAAAAATATAACAGCTAGCGAATATTTCATTTCTGTGCAATCTTGCATCTTTTGCTTGGCAGATTGTACAAGTAGACCCTTATATAGCTGTAAGCGTTGCAGTGTAGTTTTAATATTCATGGAATATGAATGCTATAGTATACTGTTTGAACAAAGCTTCAGAAGAATTATTTTTATAAAATAATTCAAATTTGAAGCTTTTTTTAATTCTACTGGCAACTTACATTTTGATAAAAGAATTCTTACTCAGAATCAAGGAGATTATATGATCGAATGAAACATTTTTACAACACTTACTAGAATCCACTTGGAATTTACATCATCTACTTAGACAACAACAATATAAGTATTTAATATATACATTGTATATATGGATAGAGATTCAAAATCAGATCTACATTGAACTTTAAAACCAAAACTGTTAGTAAATAAATATGTTTGCTTCCATATAAAAAAACTCATGCTCTGTTAATCAAACTTGGAACATTCATAACTACAGAATTCTCAAGGGAATAAAATATAATGATTAGAGAAAAAAAATCTATGATATATATGTACCGGTACATAACATAGTATATGAATTTTCTGGCTAAAGTACAGCAGTCACTCATGGGTAGGGGATAACATTTGGTGTTTAAGGACATCTACTTACATTATCTTCAGAAACCTAGAGATGAAGTAGAAGGACCCCTGGTGTCAGCCGCACACAAGAGAGTAGTCTCCCTTGCAACATTCCTCTTTTACCCACCTCTACATTGTAGTATCCTGAAAATTTATTTCTCAAATTAGCCAAATTTCCATAATTACTGTGGAATAGTACATGTACAGTAAAAATCATAATGAAAAAGGAAAATGATTAGAATGATTTCAATTTATACAAATGCTTTCAATCACAAATGTATGCATACTTTTTCAGTATTACAAACTGAATTTTGTTCAAGATTTCACTGTAACAGTAAATCATGTAATTGGAAATGGTTCAATCACACTTAAGTTGAAATTGAGTAAGGTTTATGAGTGTTTACGGTTTTTGGAACAAAACAGTCATCTGACTTTTGATTATAGCTATAGTATGAAAATTTCCACCACATAACTTCAAACAAAATAAACAAAGATGCATAAAAAGCCAAATTATATTCTCTTTGCTTACACTTTATCCTTTCTGTGTATATAAGAAGTAATTTTAGTTTACCCTTCTCTATTGATTGGACAAATTGTTTTTCATTTCTTGTTTATGTTAAACCAATTTCAGTCAGACCAGGTGAACAAACTCTTTTGAAGAACACTGACAACTTTCTTGCCTTGTTCAGACATTTGACCTCTAAGCACTTCCAATGAAAACCTGAGTCAATTTAAACCCAGTAATGACTTTTATCCTTAAATTAGTGTTAAATGATCAAAACAACTTAGATCCTTACAAAATCTTCATTTAACTCTCAAATGTGGTTTCTTCCTTTTGATGCTGTTTATAGTCTGGATAATGATGAAACACTGAGAGAGAAAGGGGGGGGGTCCCAGACTTCATTTTCAATTCAAGACCACTGTTAATTAAAATAACATACATCCATTTTACATATACTGGTTTGGGCTATGTAGTCTTTTTTACATAAGAGTACTTTCATTTATTTTTACTTTCCCGAGCGGGTGAGCAAGACCCACGATCGTACTTTCCCGTACGAATTTTTACTCACCACGAGCAAGCGTAATTCTAGACCCCTGGTAGACCCTTGATATTAGCCTAGATATCTTAGTCACTCAGGTTTGAGCACTGACTAGTACCAGTAATGCAGGAATTTTGGGTTAGATTCCAGTCCAGTCATAATGTTTTCTCCTTTCTTTTTTTATTTGATGCCATTGACCATCTCTTGATTTACATGCAGATTCCTGACAGGAGCACAATCTTAGTTGTGTGTCTTGGAGGGCATGCAAACATAGTACATAGAAGAAGCAATGTAGTTGTTGGCATTACAATATGGAGTCATGCATTGGACTGCGACTGTGGGCATTGCAGAAAATGGGTACCTCATTGATAATAGAGCACATGTCTTGTAATACAGAGATTAACAGTTCTATTCCAGGTCCAATGATAATTTTTCTCCTCCCGACCCTTGTTACACAGACACATACACGTGAAACCCAGATCAGGTGAGCTAAACTTACTCAAATCACAAGCTGTCACAACTCAAAAGGCACAGCAGAACCGACACTTCCCACACAAACAACTGAGGTTCAGAAGTGACCAAAAGGAGTTCGCCACACAATAAATCACAGACAAATCCGAGAATTGTTTATGAATGTGATCTAAAGAGGACAGACAAAAGTCTGGGAGTCTTAATCATGTTAATAGTGCATCAGCTGTTGAGATATAAGATGATTTAAAGAATACACTTAATAGAGTTCAATAATGTAACTGAGGAAATAATCAAGTGCAAGCATATAAACAGCCTCCTGTGTATTCATTATCGATATACCTATTCTAAGCTATTAATATTTCCCCCCAGTTAAGTGCATTAACAGCCTTTTGAGGGACAGCCCTAATGTCATAAATTGAATAAACAAAATAAAATCAATCGTTAACAAATAGTAAAGTGATAAATTTCTACAATGTATTTAATGTCATCAAGATAATTGTCCAAAGTTAAACATCGCAAATTGGTTACCTGTCCACTCAATGAGAAAAGCCATATAAGCACTGGGGTCCAATGAAATAGCATTTTCACATTTATATCCACCAAGTTTCAATATGACTCTTGTATTTTGTGAACTTTCGAAGTTCAAGCCTTTGTCACAGTGAGTTTAGCTGACAGAACGATATTAAATTCATAAAGTTTGGAGTACCCAACACACTCAAGTTATTTAAAATCCTGACAAAAGATTCCTTTACATCTCAATAAATTAAAATCATAACAGAGAATTAGGTGCACATTATTACATTGAAACTGATACTCCTTTTCCTAAAAATAACACACAGGCAATCAATATGCTTACGAAAAACCCAGTTTGAGATTCAATCACCTATCACGACACAATATAGCTGAATATATACCTTTATTTCTGAGCCCTCACATACGTCATAGGGTACCTGCATTAAACTTGCACCTTCAAAATTTATCTCCCAAAGTTTAAAACCTGTGCACTCTTTGCCATGGGGTACAGGTGAAGTTATTCATGTTATTAGATCAATAAAATATCTGATTAAACACACACGAATTCCATCCTCAATAACTTGTGACAACTTTCAATTTCTGCAGAAATGAGTTTTCTGTCATTTTTTACGAGATCCCATTTTCTCCTTCATTTCAGTTTGATGAACATTCCTTTTTTTCTCAGTTTGAACAACATTCCTTTCTAATAAAGCACATTATATCATGTACAAGCTAAGAACCTTCTTTGCTAAGTTTAATTCTTTGTTCATCATAACTGAAATACCTATCTCCTTTTCTCTTATACACAAAGACTATATGAACAAAAACACATTCTTTTGTTATAATTCCAAACATTAACTTCATATGTGCGCTTAATACTGTATATAAACAGAAATTGATTACTGCCGAACCCACAAAGTGAGATTATTGTTCATACTGTATTATAATGTGTACATCAATTTTCTGATGCAAAAAGATGAGACTTCCAACTGATTGCCATTGACTACCTTGAGCTCTGGACAGCTGGCTTTACCATTGGTACATGTATAGGTACATCTGTTATCAACATGTCCAGAAAATGGCCATTTGGACAAGAACCATGTTCCCCCTTAATCCCATGTTAACATGACCACATCTTTCAGGTTTTCCAGTCAATCTAAACCATCTATATATTACCATTGATTTCAGATTTCCCTTTAGCTAGTTTAATAACGTCAGTTGACTAGTTCTCTGACAGGGTTCTGTACAATTGCATAACTCAGTGAATAACCAGGAAGACAAATTTTCCAGATCTATCTTTGGATTCTTGGGTCGATGAACTGAATAAAGTTAGATCTACTGGTATTAAATATATAAAGCATCACAATAATTCAATTGCTAATTGGATCTTGAAAGCTAATTAAATAGAAAGAATCACTACATCACGCTACATAGAAGCATCTCTATACAGTTAAACTTTGGATGCGTTAATGATTACGAATTTTGAAAGTGGGTTTGGGGGATAGGGGAAGACACTTTCGCCCATTTTCTCAGTATACACAACTTTCCTGACCATTTTCAGAGAGCCAGGTCATGGTCATGTACATAATTATATCTATTAAGGCAAAGGTTTTCTGCATGCATAAGATTTTGTGGGAACTGTAATTAAAACACTGACATTTATAATTAAAATAGTAAAGGTTTGCCAAAATACCACAGTATATATGCACATTAACGGGATTCAATATACCATTATATTTGCTCTTTTTTTCTTTACTAATCAACTTATTTACCCTGACTGTTTACATGTGAAGCCTTGATCAAAATTCCTTAGTCTGCAGGCAACAATATACAATAATCAAACACTCCAGCGTACAAAACATTCATTTTACACGTTTTAGATTTGAAATATTTCAGTCTAGGCAATACTTGTAGCAAAGCAAGGTTCCTAACAAACCAGGTGGAAATGGGTCAAAGTTTAAGACCTCTCATACACACCCAGAAACACAAATAATTTCATCAGTGCATGTACACCTTCCAGACCTCTTTATGGATTTGTCTATATATTGTATGAAAAGCTTCCTAAAGCTTAGCAATGCAAAAATCCCCTACTCTGAGTGGTGTTTTTCTAATGGAATGGTAATAAACTAGCCATGATTGGGTGGACAAAATCATCGCCTTATGATCGGACTTTTTTCCTCGTACAGTTCGGGGAATCAATGAGCTATTGGATTCTTAACATGATCTCAATATCGATCATTCTCTTCACTCATTACTGGCAAAAGGGTTCAAGAAATCACAAAATCCAAACACAACAATCTTATATAAAGGCACATCAGCCCCTAATTAATTAATACTCCATCTAATCAACCTCAAGGACGTTTTGCTAAGAAATCAATAAGAAAAAAAAAATTCCTGGATACCTACCAACATATTCCTACGGCAGTAGAGCTAACTAAACTTCATAGTAAATCATAAGGAAATGAAAAGGAGGAAGAAAAATTGTGTGTTTATGATCATGCTGGTAGACTAAGGAACATGTTTCTTTCAATATTAAATTCTTCCATGTGTATGCAGGTGCAACCTATGAGAGTGTGTATTCTAAACAAACAATAGGCTCCTTGGCCACAATGCTCACCTGAGTCACCTAGTAATTTAACTTTCACAAACCAGTACTGTTATGTTTTAAAATTCATCATTTTATTAATGGTGTCTTTGCCTTTAATATTAGCTGTCAGTCTTCAAATATATGTCTTCAGATAAGAAAACAAAAAAATCCATAAACCAATTTATTCTTGTGTTTTTTTTCATCATGTCATATACTGCATCTCATTCAAGTACAAACCTCTTCAGGTAAAGCACATGAATAGGAATTACATAATAAAGTTCCAACCACATCTTCATGCATTTACTCTCAACCTGTTCACAGAACATGCACTTGTTTTCCCCCTTGCCACCTACTTTCTTACATCAAACCCAGCATGGACATAAATGATGTTATTAATAATGTTTCCCCCATTTTTCAAATTTTAGATTTATATTCGCATGCAGTGAAATCAGAGAAAGAGCTAGCTAGGGTATACATTTATGACCAACTTTCTATCATGCTTCACATGTGTAATCAATATATTAATTTAAACATATCTATCACATCTAAAACATGACCATTTGACATTGACCACAAGACAACCTGTGGCTTATTCGTCATTTCCTATATAATGTTATGGCAATATGTCCTACACAGGTTCAATAATAAATTAATGGAATACAGAGGAAATAATCAACTTATGGACATGTAATCATGTATCTATAAATTGTTTTTAGTGAATAATTAGATATCTCCAAATCGATACAAAATTCACTCAGAAACCAGCCAAGACACAGATGGGGCTTTTCTGGCACATACCCCACTGATAAAGACAAATATTTATATAGACTACAGTTTAGTTTTTCTTCTGGGTCTGATGACACTGTCACTCATTTAGGTGTCAAAATAAGTTATACTTATACAGCCAATTCTTAGAGGCTTACAGGGCTTGGCTCCTACTAAAAACCCATAGGACAACATCCTTGATCTACTTAGGACCTCAAGATACCCAGGCCCTTTCCCATCTAATATAACCACCACCACCCCTCTCCCAGTTCCCTCTCACAAAAGATCCTTGATCCACATCTCAAAACAGGCCAAAGAACTATAACAATTACAGTTAATTCTCACCAATAGTACACTATCACCATGATCACTAACCCTCAGTACCTCATCAAATTCTGTCTAACATAAACTATAGCTTGGCTGTTACATGTAAATGCTGGCCTAATGGAACATGCATAAATGATGCTAGTCAATAATGCGAACACCAATAAAAGATGGATAATTTATCATTTCTTTATTGCTTTATTCTCGTGTAAATTACTACCTAATAGTTTATTGATGGTGGTACTGGACCTCCAAGATCAAAGTGTAATCCTTTTATGGTAAGCACCACACATTAAAATATATACAGTGTCAATCTAGAATACACACAGGAAAAAGGGGGTCAAAATGTGCCAAAATCATTGGTGTACGTTCTTTTTTTAATACCGGTGACAGTTCAATACTTATAAATACCAGTAACTGCAGTACCATTGAAATCATCTTTTTGAAGAATTCATACATTATTGCACACATGACAAAAGTAGCAGAATTTGTAGTGGATGATTCTAATGTGGTGGTTGGAAAGGGCTGATAATTATTTTTACAAGTAAATCATATCATTATACATTAAAGCCTGGGATGAATTCAATCATAAAGGAAAATGGAGGACTTCGGGATGTGCTAAAGAGATCATAACTTCACACAACTGAGAAAAGATGTCCCCTTTTACAATGACTGTCACTATAAAAAATATATTAAATGCTTCAAATTTCTTATAAAAAAGCTGCTGGATTTGATTGCATCTACCATGTTTACTGTGACAGGTGTATCAAATCAGAAGAGAGGGAGCCTGAGAGATGTACCAGTGTACCAGATGTATTCAGTGGCGGATCCAGGAATTTCATAAAGGGAGGGCACAGTAGAAGCTCAGGTGTCTGATGGCTACATAGAAGCCCCTAGTGGGTCAATGGCAAAGCCCTGGTGGGAGAGCAAAGCCCTCATAAAAATGAGGAAATTCTAACAAAAAATAGGTGTTTTTACTTCGAATTTAGGGTAGTACACATGTCCACACAAAATTTCAACCATAAAAAATTTAAACGGGAGGGCGGCTCAGGGCGCACACCCGGCACACGCCGTCCCTCCCTTGATCGCCATTGCTATTAGATTCTTTTTTGTAAAGTCTTCTCCAGTTGAGTTAACATAATTTTATTCATGAACATTATTGTTACACTGAAATACTGTATCAAAATAAATGGGACTGGCAGCATCACAAAACCTGAAATGTAAATCAACACAATCATGTCATACATTATACATGACATGACACAGAAACCCCCAATCTTTAACACACTTGACACACAAAGAAAAAAAAATATGTACACTCTGAACATAAGATAATTCAGTCAGGCCAAAGGTAAACACACTCTAAAGCAGCTTAGGACTTTCACCAGATACATAAAGAACATTTTGACCAGTTAAAATAAACACTGTGTATCAATTTATGTAAACAAAGTATCCGCCTGAGATTTTTATATAGCTCATTACCCACTTAAAATCTGACTCAGTCTTTCTCTAATATCTGTAGGCCATGCTCAGTACATAGTGACATCAGGTCGTGTTTTAGAATTTTTTTCTTTATATGACATCACTGATCAGTCCTACCTGGTACAACACTATAAGTACTTAATGAAAGTTTTTTCTTCAAGCAAAACAACTTTCTTTCCATGTTAATAGATTATGGATTGTTCATGCCTCCAGGTTACGATAAAATGTCTTTATACTAGGTACCTCTTTTTAATATGCTTGTAATTTAAAAACTCAATCTAGCTTATATGTATCAGACTAGTACACATATCTTTGCCTGCATGAAGAATACTCTTATTTAACAGGTATAATATGCATACTGTACAATCTTTACACATGTATTGCATGCATAGGCTTTGGTCACAGTATGTTGTAATATTCCCAATGAAAGCCCTTCACAAATATCTCAAGTTTGCAATCACACCAAATGAATGTATTACGATAGATTATTATCAAAAGTAGGATATAGCTAGCTATATGGAATTACAATGTTCTAAATCAGATCCTGGAAATATCATGTACTTTTATGGTATTGTACTGAATTTTACATATCACAAACAACTAATGCCTTTAGTTCCTTGAATACAAGGTCATGTAAACATTTTAAAATGACATGCAACATGTTCATTATATGTAACATTATGAAACGTATGCAGTATAAGTCTATTTTTCAATTTGCATGTAGATAAAATTTGTTATAATGTAATAAGACTGTCAGATTGCCATGCATATTTTGTGTTTTTAACTCCATCAAGTAATAAAGTATATAACGTACCATACACACTTCCACTTTTTATTTGTTGCATAACTGCATGCGACTACTCAGTACTCTACATTTCAATATTTTCACCTAAATGAAATTCCAAGCTTTCAAACAAAGCAGACTCTGCAATAATTATTCACCAGGATAAATTTTGCTTTTGCCTTAAGATACCAGACTTAAGACTGCTCTTAATATATTTTTTTCAAAGGCTATGGTAATTACATTTTGTGCATAGACTGCAGGCAAGAATATAACAAGATCAAGAGATTGTCAAAGACCTAGCATGCTTTGTCAGGGAAGAAATTGACATCAACATTGGAATCTTTAATCCAATTACAAACTTGTCACTTGTGATTAAAAAGCAATGTAATACATCTTATCAGTGACAGGAAGTCATAGATTCACAAACTTGATTTTATACCAAAAGCTCTGCTCACTTGTGATTTTATTTACATGTAACTTTGATTACTATAGCAGCATATAAAAACACGATATTATGTTCAAACTGATCATCACTACAATCTTTTCAAAATATCCATGCAACTTATTTACAAATTCAACATTCATTGAGTCAACATCAACATGGACTTATGGATCTGTTCATGTTATTATTAATTGATTGAAAGAAATACTCACAATTTAATCATTACAGACGCCAAAATCAATCCATTTACAGCATCACGAACAACAGATTTCCAAAATCACACATACATGTTCTTTAATTGCTGCAGCTCACAGAAATATATTTTCTCTAACGGTCTGAGGGTCGTGCAAATGTCAATAACCAAAAATATGTCAAGCGAAATCGATCGAAAATACGTGACTTATAACTGATTTAGGTGCATATTTGTGGATTGGGAGTTCATTAAAGGAACAAAACGATTGTTTACGTTAACATCATTTAACATTACCTATTTTAAATCACTTGACATGCTCCACCAGTCTGCATATCGTCATTAACCGGAAGTGCAGGATATGTGTTCCCGAAAGCGCCCTCATGCGGTAATTAAAACAGAAACTCTGGCGCGGATCTACATGGGGGTGGGGGGGATAAAACATGAAAAAAGATACAAAGAAAATTTATAGATTTATAGATATTTTTCAAAAAAGTGTTAGCTCCCCATGAAATTGAAATATTTCAGGAAAAATAAAATAAGATTAATGTTAGAGAAAAATTGATATAAAATATAGGGAGGAGGGACCCCCTCCCAATGAGGAAAAAATGGGTGTTGATATTTTCTAAAAATGATCTGACCAGTTGCCAAAAGATAATTCCCCAAATCATGGAATTTGCCGGTGCTCGATCTCACAGGAAGTAAGTAAAAGGTACACTGTATGTGTGTCTCTCCGGGGGGGGGGGGGGGGCTGGGTTCATGGGGGCTGTAAGGAGTACATGTATCTGTGACGAAGAAGAAAAACTTAAAAAGTAGGAAATCAAATGCGTTTCCAACAACTCTCATGCATTTAAAGCTACATATGGCGTATATGAGCTAAAACAATAAATAAAAATACAATAAGATAAAATAAGATTTATTAATACCAATTTGTGCCCCATCAGGGCATACAAGTAAAGAGAAATACATACAAGAAAAAATTCAAAATTGATAGCAGCAATGATTTTGAACTTGGCTACCCCACGTTCTGTAGTTTGATCTTGATTTTTTTTCAATAGCGAGTCGACGGAGGCCAATAAATATATTGTTTTGAATTTAAAATATATTTGAAATGTAGTTGTCTCACTTGATTTGAATCACAGGAGTCTGAAGTTTTTATCGTAAAAAAAAAAATTCCGGATTTTTTTTTTTTTTTTTTTTTTTTTTTTTTTTTTTTTGACTATAAAAACTTCAGACTCCTGTGATTTGAATAAATAAAACCTAAAACTAGAGATCTTTTTAATTTTGAATTAAAAAGCCGTGTATGAAATTAAAACAACTGAAGGGTTGCAACTCTTAGTGGACATAAGGAAAGAAAAACCTACAATGAATTTAAGCAATGTGACTCGTAAAGCGTTGTCATGATTAGTAATCTTTGAGTTTACTGGCTAAGATAGTGAGTTGTGGAGCGGGGGTCGTATAGATACATGTACTTAGATACCTAGTGAAAGTTACTTATCAATTCTAAATTTACCTATATATTTATCTTAGATCTGTCTAGTTAACAGGTCCAGTCCAAAGACTATTTCTACCTACGTAGCTATTAATAGCTACGTAGGTATATTTAAACCTACCCAAAGTAACTATTTTTACCTATAGCTACTTTCTGCTTTACTCTCATTTTGTGGCCAAACGCAGGTACGGCGCAACATGGTGAGCACTGAATTTCTTGATAGAGTCACACTGATGATGGATCCGATAAAAATGTGGCAAAAAAAAATGATTACTTCGTATAAAATCAATTTTGCATAGAAACTAATGTAAAATCGCCACTTCAGGAAGTAATCATCAACAGTGTGACTGTATCAAAAAATATGGTATTCACCATGTTGCGCCGTTCAGTCCTTTGGCCACAAAATGTAGATAATACAAAAAGTAGGTAAAAATAGCTACTTTGGGTAGGTTTAAATACCTACGTAGCTATTTTCAAGAATTTTCAACAAGACACTGACTCTGCTGTCTCCGTAAATCTCCGACCAGCAGAGATTCTGGCAAAAATACGTCTGGTAAAGTTTTTTTCTCTGCTGGTCGGAGATTTACGGAGACAGCCATTGTCTGGTTGAACGAGACTATTAATTTTCATGGTAAAGCAAAACCGAAACTAGAGTTATCTCCCATAAACTCAGATTTTGCTATTTATTAATAATTTTTAATTAATAAAGTAATCTTTATTTTCTAGTCTTTTTTATGCAAGTAAGTAAAATATTGGTAATATTATATTAATATTTATTTATAAATGAATTTAGAATTTTAATTGAATAAAAAATTAATAAAATGAAATAAAAGGTTTTGATTATTAAGCAGTAAGAAAGAAATTATCCTATATCACATGCGAATGATCGAACAATGGCAATCGGAACAAACTAAGATAAGATAAGAGAAGATAAGATATGTTTTATTACTAATTCAGTGCCCAAATGAGCATAAAGAGTACAAACTTACAAGAGAAAGGCCTAATATATAGTTGACAGAAAAAGGAAAAACAAAACAAAAGATTTAGACATACATGAACCTATACAAACATGTACATAAAATAGACATATGACTCTTCAATGTATATATACATATGTATCATATTGTGGTATGGGGCATCAGTATTTAGGCTAATGGCAATTAATTAATGTACATGCATTTTTGAACTTATAATGTTTATAAGACAGATAGAGAAAAAAAAAATGCAAAGTACATTAGTAGTAGAGACTGAAGTACATATGAATTGAATAATTATGTATATCCTAACATTTTTACTTTTATCATTTTTTAATGAGATTTTTTCTCTTAATAAAAGATTTGGATAAAAAGTCACATAGTTTAAATAATATATTGTGATCTTCATTTGCCATAATCCATAAAAATTTTTGATTGTTGGACAGAGTGTTGAAATTTTTATAATTGTCACTTAAAAAGTTAAATAAAACTTTCCTTTCTTCATTATATAAAGAACAATTTGTAAGGAAATGGATTTCATCTTCAATACAATTTGAATTACAAAGAGTACATGTCCGTTGACTTCTTTCTAGAGGGATCTTTTTCCCATTAATATCTTTTGTATATTCATATCTACCACGTTCAATTCTTAATTCATGTGCCCTTATTCTGAATTTACAAGTGTTTCAAGTTGAAGAGAATGAAAAAGGAAATTCCTGATCAGTTGAGTATGGTGGTCTGTACAAGTCATACAGTATTTAAGGACCCTCTCTACACCAGTACAATTTCTTTTGGATATTGAGAAAAATACATTCTATAGAAGTGTTATTATTGAGCTTATTTATATGATTTTCAACATATGATGCGTGGCATTTACCCCCAGGAAAAATAATCAAACACAACACAGTAACAGTGAATAGAAATCACTGTTGTTTACTTCGATAGAGTAAATACACGTAAATAACATATTCAATTAATTTATCTTGGACTTTTAAAATATTAAGAATACCTGAATTGATTTAAAACTGTGTAATAAACTGTGAATTTCTAATTTTAAGAATTCAGATCTTAGGGCAGATCACTCTAACTGCAAAAAAATACTATAGAATCAGAACTCTTTAGTGTGCAGTGTAGAGAGGGTTCTTAAGGAATGTTTTTAAATTATGTGTAAGTTATTGGTGTGTGAATCAAGACTTGTCACGTAGGCATATTTCATGAAGCGCGCTAAAACTGACTGCAGTTACTTGTCATCACAAGTAGAGACAAAATTTTCAGAAAAGTCCGTTTGTTAGATGTTATGTCAACTTGATTTGTCCGAAAAGACAAATTTGTTTTTACCCTTGTAATGTATAGTGAATCAGCCAATTTGTATAATTATGTGATTGCTTCTCGATATTAAAAAATAAGTAGGAACGGATAAAAAAACCCCTGTATTTCCAGTAGATTTGAATTGCTTATCAAGACTACTCTGAAGCCATATTGTTTTCTAATTTATGTAATGAAGGGTACTGTGTTTACAGATATTAAATGCCGGGTACAAAGTACATTAATTTGTAAGTTTTATTTTGAACCAGAGACATTGCATCTCATAGATATAAAACATTCATACATATAACATTTGTACAGGCTAAACAATATACATGTGGCAATGTCCCTCTCTATATCCTTAAATCAGGCGCTGATAGCTTTAAACGACTGATAGGTTTTTTGTACTTTGAATAAAATGGTACAACGTTAACATTATCCACTAAATTATTTAGGAGAATTACAAATTCAGAAATTCTTGACATAATATCTTGTTTATAACCGTCATACATTCTTTGAAATACAATGTCCAGAGTATTATTATTAATACAATTAATATTATACATTATACACATGTAACCTTTTTTATTGCTTATTTCTGTGTCAGAAGAACCTACGCTCCATTTTAAATTTGGTTGACGTCAACAATAGAGGATGCACATTTTTTGTGAAAAACTGCGTTCCATACAAGGTTGAAAATCTACGCTGAATAAAAAGGTTGAATAAAAAGCGGTAGTATATACACTCAAATCATTTAATGGGTAAGCAATTATTATTATTATTTTATTTTAGATAAATTCTATCTTAGTTTAATTTTTTTCTTCATTGTTTTAAGAGTAAAAAAATTATCAGACCGACAGGTCGTTTATGAAGAGGGGGGGGGGGGGGTGTGACAGACAGAGAAAAGAATCAACTTACCTGAAAATAATTTTTAAAACACTTGGCAAGCACAAAATAGGGGAAATGAAATATTACAAACTTGAAAATCCTATTCATTGGTGATGAGGATGGGAATGGTGTAGGTTTCAACATATTCATGATGCACTCATCTGCAACAAAAAGTCGAGGGGCGGGAGGCAACATTTAAAAAAAAAACCTCTAATATTTGGGAAAAAAACTGGGGTGGGGGTGGGGGTGGTATATTCAAAGTAAAAAGTCATTCTAACACTGGACTGTATCACAGAACGCCTCGGGACAGAGTTATTATTTCATTCCTCCTTAACCCCCACCAACCACCATACCTACCGTCGATCTCTGATGCAGGTCGGTAAACAAGCAAAATATCGAAGAATTGTTGTTCCCTTATTTCGGTGTCTTTGTGGGTGAGATGTCATTTTTTATGGCATATTGTGTCAAATATGAACGCCTTTTCATATATCATTCAGAAAGTATCACCAGAGTTTATTTTATTGAAAATTAACGTTAGGTGAATCGTGAAGGACAAGGGTCAGAAATCATAGCATGCACTGAAACATC